TATATATATATATATAAAAGCTATAGCATTTTTTTACGATTTTAACCTTCAACTAACTCTTAATAATATTACAATTTTTTCCACAATTTGACTTGGTCAGAGTCTTGATTTGAAAAAGGATGTCAATTAATAAACTCGAGGCGAAAGGAAATTTCAGATATTTTAGTTTGAATAAAATTATTGTGATTAACGAATTTCATAGCAAAAAGAAAACTTATCAAAATAATCCAACAAAAGAAAATTCAAATGAGATTGAAGTATTACTATAATCAGTCTAATAATACGAGATTAAGTAGTATATATAAGATTTTAGATTAACATTTTTTTCTGTCATTTTAAGTTAAAAAAGTTAAATGAATGTTATATATCAAACATGAATGTTAAAAAATAAAAATAATAGTTTTGAAATTTGAAATAATAAAAATCAAATTAAAATATATTATGAGGATCAAAATTAAAATACACTTATTTTATATAATAAAAAAACAAATATAATTTTTAAGTTTTATAATGATAAAAAAATAATTTTTTAATGAAAAATAAAAATAAAAATAGTTTATTTTATAAAAATAAAAAACGTATTTAAGTATAAACAATATTAACATAAATATAATTAATATTGAGTTTGTTTGTTTACACTATTTTCTTTTTTTATATAATAAAGCATTTTTTTAAAAGTAAAATAAATAGTATTTTTTAAACTTTTTTATGTGTTCATCTAATTTTTTATAAAATAAACAGTTTCTTAAAGGATTGTATTTTTTAAAAGTATTTGTTTAAAAATTCTTTTTAGGTAATCATGATATAAGTATGAAGTATTTGCAACAAACATTAGAAATATATTTTTTAAATTTAAACAAGTTGACCCATTATGGTATGAAAAATGCTATTCGATAAATTTATATATAACTAAGATTTTGTTTGTTTAAATTTTTTCTTATAAAACTTTTTTTTAATAAAATAAACACTTTTTTCTTTTACTTTTTACGTGTTTGTCTATTTTTTTTTAAAGAATAAGTAAATTTTTTTAAACTTTTTTAAAAAACAACTTTATCTATTTTTTAAAAAAATTATTTCTTTTAAATTCACTTATTTTAAAGTTTAAACAAATATACTTTAAGTTGAAAAATTAATTTTTCTTAGTGAAATTTACGATGAGAACAATAGAGTTGGAAGGTGGTACGTATGACTTGAATCCCATGGCCGACCTACTATGGAGTAGAAATCTAATTAAACATACAGGAAGATGATGATATTTATTGAAAAGTGTTGTATTTATTTAAGATTTAGTTGATATTCCTGCCTCAGCCTATAGAATGCGGTAACTAGTTAAACACGACGTTTCACTTTCTTTGGGAGATATTTAAGTTTCAAATAAACCATATTTCAATCAGATATTTTTTATTTATTTATTTTACTTTCATCTAGTTGACTATTAGTTTGGCGATGACTATTGAGAGAGGCGTGATTTATGACCAATTACTATGTAAGCTGGTGAAGACAATGATATGTATACATCATAGGATAAGCTCAAGTGTGCAATTGGCTTATCAGTCAAACAAATACCATTGACAGGGATCCCGTCTATTGCATGCAATTTGCTACACATGCCACCTCATCTTTATTAAAAATTACAAAATTAATTATCAATAAGATTTATAAAAATAAAGTGTAAGACTCATATAATTTTATAATTTTTACAATTTTTAATCAATAATAAAATTGTTCCGGCCACGGGGTGCACTAGGATTTTTTCCTAGGTCAAACCTTAAAACTAGAACATTCAAGAGTGTAATCTGCCTTCTTAGCCTTAGGGTTTTAGGTTTTATACTTTCTTGTCCGTAGGCCTCATGGGCCCCGTGAATACGTGGATTTTTTTAACTATTGATATCTTAAAGATACTTGGCGAATGCGAGGATTATAGATAAGGTCCTGATCGAGATTCTCTATACCGAAGGACCAGTCGGGCTTTGGCCGAGTGGGTCCTACTGGCTGGGGAATCGGAGAGGGGCCGAGCTGGTTCACGCCCAAGATGTCTCTCGGGCGTAACCCGAGTGACCTAATCATGAGGGAGTTGGTCAAGGTTGCAGTCGATCCATCAGTAGGAAGAGGATAAGGTCGTGTACCGATCAAAAATACGACCCGTTAATGGAAATAGGTCGCTCGTTGACCGAGACGTTACAAAAATGTATTATAAATTGTGTTACTTGCATTTCTCATTTTATCAATTGTACTGATTATTAATTTTTTTTTAAACCCTTAATAATACTCATTGGTTTATTTATTAAAAAAAAACTCATTCTTTAATATTATAAACTCAAATTTGTGTGCATTTTAAAAAACAATTTCTCAATTGCCATAACCAAGGAACTAAAACAATGACAATTTACAACCTATAATGAAGGCACAATTTGTCCAATAGTTATAAATTTTTGGGTTTTTGAAAAAAAAAAAGAATACATGAGATGAAAATTCTTTTGTACACATTGCACAAAGAATTGAATGAAAAGATAATAATTGAAGAAAAGTATATATGTTTGATCATGGTGTATGAAAACCTTTGGTTGCACCACAACCCATGATGGAGGAAGGTAACTTCCCGACCCTTTCTACGCCTTCTTCAAAAACCACTCCCATTCCCATATAGAAATGAGACTCTATATGGCAATGGAAAGCCCAGACGCCAGGATTATCGGACCTAAACCTCAAGGCGGTCCAACCAAAGGGGTGCACCGGAACCGTGTTCTTCATAATGGGGTTCTCCAAATTATACTTTTTGGTATCATTCTTAACGTCAAACTTCCCCTCCCCGTATCCCAGAACCCAAAAATCGTGCCCGTGAAGGTGCCACGGGTGCGTCTCGCTATTGTTCTTGTTCATGGTGTTGGCGTTTTGGAGTATAACATCGACCGTCGTGTTGAACTTGAGCCTGTAAATTCCATTACTAGAAGTGGCATTGACGTTATTGGGCACACTGAAAATGTCGTAGCTAGCGAAGTCGTAGCCATCAGGGGGAGGGGTGGTGTCGAAGGCGCCGTTTATGTTCTCTTTGAGGGCAATGAGATATGGGGTGTGAGGGAGTGTGAAAGAGACATTGTTCACCGACCAGTGGCGGTAACCGCTTATGTTGTTCTGCGTGTTGAGGAGTACGATGAGTCTGTCGGAGGTTGCGGGGGGTTTGTGGATGTAGCCTTGGCGGGCCTTGATGGAGAGGCTTTGGGCTAGCCTTGGCTTAGCGTCGTCCCATGCAGGGGGAGAGGGTGGACCCGTTGGTGGGGACCGTTTTGGGTGGTTGGGGTAGTAGTTGAAGATGCCTAACCCTGCTGGGGTGCTTCTGTTTCTGCTCACCACGTTTGAGGTTATCCAATAGTTCCTTGATGGCTCTCGGTTGCTTTTCACTAGAACTGAGTAGGTCTCACCTGAGTATATGAACAGGTTTTTAACCACAAATGGCTCAACGTAGTGACCATCTGCTTCCACCACTGTCATGTTATGGTCCTGCATTAATAGGTCAAAATCAGTTATGAAGGGGCAAAAATAAATTAAGTAGTCAGCAAATGTGTTATTACAGATGTTCACCACAATCAAAATGTCTAATTCTCCCAATGTACCTAAGGGAAAAATAATCATTTTAACTTTTGAAGAAGTTAAATGGGATTCTTTTTTTTAATAAAAGTTGAAATGTATAAGTTGATTTTAAATTATGAAAAAAAGTTTAATCTATTATATTCTTTTGGTACGAATGTTTACAAAGTCAAACAAGACTTTTTGATTACCTCTATTTGGAAACTTAGTGCTGATAAAGCAGTCAAGCTGGCAATTCTTAGTCGGTAAGTTTTTCCTGGGATCACAGTTTGTACAAAGGGAGAGCATTGAGGGTTTGATGTGTCACAAACATCAGTGCCTGAGCTTGGAGATTTGGAACAGTTGAATCTTCCTTTTCCATTAATCAGAAGTGACTGGGGAAACCAAAATGAAATCAACAGTTAGAGAATTGAAGAAAGAAGAGGGATGATGGTGGATTTTGAATTGAAGCATTTACCTGAGGTTCTCCCACCCATTGAAATGGAATTGAAGACAATCCAGCAGCTTGTTCATAAGTGCTCTGGTGGTACCAATCGTTCAGAATAATGGTTCGGTCAAGGTCATAAGCAAAGGGTTCAGGGTCACGGGGTGTCACTCGTATTAGTCCATATAGCCCCGCTTCCCTTTGCATTCCATAGTGAGCGTGGTAAAGATATGTCCCAGGCTGTGACACAAAAGATGCAAGCATTATTAGATATCATGAACTATTTTGAAGTTATCATTGATGATGAGATGAAAGGATTACAAATATAGCTTTTGATTATTCAAGTGGCTTAATATAAAAAGTTAGATTTTTATAACGTACCCTGTCTACAACAAACCGATAAATAAATGTGTCTCCAGGAAATATAGGACATTGAGTTACCCCTTCTGTTCCATCAAACCAAGGAGTTCCAATCTGCCATATACAAAAAGAAAAAGCATAAGCTAAATTAAGCTAGCAAAGTCTATGATTTAATATTTATATTTTGTTGCAGAAAACAAAGTCCAACCTGTCTGATACCATGCCAGTGGATGGCAAGGTTTTCTGTGACCAAACTGTTGTTAACTTGAACAACAATTGTATCACCCTCCTGGGCCTGGATGGTAGGTCCTGGAGTTTCACCATTGATGGTAATAACCAGCTTCTTAAAGCAATCAGGGGCTCTAAACTCATACTTGACCTCCCATTTGTAATGTCTAATTCTGGCCTCAGCTAATTTGTTGAAATTCCCCAAGACGAGGAAGAAACACAGAAGCAATAAAGTTGGCATGGCCCTTGAACACAAGTGAAGCTTAACCATGTCTAGCAAGTCAAATATGAAATATGAGTGCGAGAGGTAATAGAGTTATGGTTTAGAGATTTGTGGAGCCGGGATTGTGTTTATATAATGGATGAGGTCTAGGTAATTATATTAACTGTATTATATATATTGTTGGTTCCGCCTTTTCAAACTAAGTTGGTGAAAGAAATGTCACAGATTGAAACTTTGATCTCTTCACACCGTGTTGACCATCAGCTTCCCTTGCCTCGAACTTTCTCTCTGCTCTTCATTTTATGCTTTTGACCGTCTTTATGTCCATTACAAAACTACCAACTTCAAAACCATTGTCTATTCATATCAACACCGATATTGATGTCTTCTTTTTTTACTCACATGTTCTTTCGGAGCTCATGACGCTCAAATTCAGTGAGATTATCAAGGACAATTAAATATTTCTTCTTAATATTTAATATAATTAATAATTATATTAGAAGCCTTAAATTAATTTACTCATTTTGTAGCCATATTAATGTTTAAAATGATGTTTTTATCAACATTTTTATAATATTTACAACCCTTATTTTATATCATATATACTTTTTCCCCTTTTTCTATTTCCTTCTTCACTGTAAAAAATAATAATAATTAAAATAGCATTGCTGTTATGCTTATAGATATTTATCAAACTTTAAAGTTCACGACTGAAATTTTTCCGATTAAAAAACAAATGATCTTTTATTCTTAGGACAACTTTGATGATGTAACTCAAAAATAAAATAAAAAATACTTAATTTTTAGCATTTTAAAATGAGAATTATTTTATGGAGCTTTTTATTGTTAATTAAAATTTATTGAAAATCATAAAATTTATTAGATTTCACATGTTATTTAATATATTCTTGTAACTTTGTAATTTTTAATTAATCCTAACTGAAAAAATTGCAACTATGACCATATAACAAGAGTGTAGCTGTTACGTACATGCAACTTACATAATCATATAACTTATATTTTACTCCTTATAATCATTGATTTCAAGAGTCATCCAAATAGCCTAACGGCCAACTGGTGTTTGGAAAAACGATTGCATTTTGACATACGTAAATTTTCACTTTTTTGAGACAAAAAAAACAACAACATGAATTTGTAACTTTTTGGTTCAACATATTTGAAAAACCATTTACCCTTTATAGCAAACGTGAATTCTCACTTTCCGAAGCACATACAGGGAAATCGTTTGTATCATGACAAACGTGAATTCCACTTTCTGAGGCACAAAAATAGAAAACAAGAACGTATAACTTGTAGTTTAACGCGTATTTGATTTTAAATATACTTTCACACTTTTTCTCTCCACCAAAAACACTACTTTCACAAACTTCTCTCATCTTCCCTCTTCCTCCTTTCCTCTTCTTCTACACCAAACAAATTGTTAGGGTGGATGGATGCAAAGAAAAAGAAGGAGGAAAAAAAGTGACACAAAAGTAAAAAAAAAAATGTGATAAATGACGTAATATATATATATATATAAGAAAATGAAATGAAAAAAAAAAAAAATATATATATA